AGATCTCTGTTAAATTAAACACACAATTATAAAAGCTAGTAACTTGGGTTTATAACTCCACCTTTTGTTTTCTACATTTAAGAGATTAACACATAGGGCGCCTGGGTGGCTCAGTTGGTTAAGCGACTGCCTTCAGCTCAGGTCATGATCCTGGAGTCCCGGGATCGAGCCCCGCATTGGGCTCCCTGCTCAGCGGGAGGCCTGCTTCTCCCTCTCCCACTCCCCCTGCTTGTGTTCCCTCTCTCACTGTATCTCTGTCAAATAAATAAAAATAAAATCTTAAAAAAAAAAAATTCTTAAAAGATATGTGCATATTTTAGAATACAACAATGTTGAAAATCACTGTGGAGAGAAGAGTGTGAGGAATGAGTGAGAAAAAAGGTCCAGAGAGATGGGGATTAGCCTGGGGCTAGAGAAAGAATAAAAATGACAAGTCGGCAAAGTGTCAAGAATGGAGAAGGGAAGGTAGAAGTGAATTTTGGCCACCAGCAATGGCACCAAAACACAAGTCAAACATGACAGGTTCCTGGTACGATTTGAACAAAGCTCTGATATCACATTCTCCCCCAGCTATCATTCACCTGGGTCAGGCCCTCTGGGGGCCCATCTTGTGGAGAATGGAAGCACAGGGGACTCTTCCCCTAACCCCAGCTGAGCAACTGCATGGGACCGGGAAGATCCAAATCCTAAGGGTAAGACAGGACGGGTCAGTGGTTAATACTGGCCTGGATCAACTCAGCACACAAGGGATCACAGGAAAGATGCTACAAAAAGTACCTCCAGGCCGAGTTAGAGGGAACATGGTGGCATAGTAAGCACCCAGAGCCTGTCTCCTCACCTGGATCACAAATGCACTGACAGAATCAATCTGATGTAACTATTTTGCAACTCTACAGTCTAATGAAGGCTTGCAACATGCTAAATTGCTTTAATTTTGGTCAATATCAGCTATTAGCATTGTGTAAGTTATCCACGTCCCAACTTGTCTAACTCTGAGCTCCAGCAGGCAGCCATGCACATTTTCTTGGAGGAGCTTGCTGGAGCCAGGGTGGGCAATAAGGACTCTGTTCTCCAAGTATCACAGATATGTGCTTCTGATGGTGGAGATGTGACATACAGGTGGGCAGTCATTGTTGCAAAACCTCTCCCTCCCGACTCAGGGGATTTAAAGGGCAGATGTCCACCACCCTCCCTTCACGTTTCTCTTATTCCCCTTTTTGGAGGCAGAAATTCAAGGACTAGGATATTCAAAATCACATACATGGAGGAATAGAGAAAATCATCATACATGCCCAGGGAAAGGCACAGTCTCAGAAAAAAACAGAGAAGACCTGAAGTTTACACCCCAGACTGATCTCCAGTAGAGACACCCTACAACCATTCAACAAACAAACAACAACCTCCAAATGGCCAGTTTTCAACAACAAGTCACAGGACATACAAACCAACAGGAAAGTTAACCCATTCTAAAAAAAAAACAAGAGAAACTGTCCTTAAGACCACATTGTGTACTTATTAGACAAAGACTTTATTTTTTTTTAAGATTTTATTTATTTGACAGAGAGAGAGCACAAGCAGGGGGAGCAGGAGAGGGAGAAGCAGGCTCCCCGCTGAGCAGTGAGCCCAATGTGGGGTTTGACCCAGGACCCAGGATCATGACCTGAGCCAAAGGCAGATGCTTAACCGACTGAGCCACCCAGGTGCCCCTAGACAAAGACTTTAAAATATTTGTCTAAAAGATGCTCAAAGGGCTAAAAGAAAATGTGGACAAAGTCAAGAAGATGTTGCATGACCAAAACAGAAATACCAATACAGACAGGAAACATAAAGAATAATCAAAAAGATGGGCGCCTGGGTGGCTCAGTCATTAAGCATCTGCCTTCGGCTCAGGTCATGATCCCAGGGTCCTGGGATCGAGTCCCACATCAGGCTCCCTGCTCAGCGGGAAGCCTGCTTCTCCCTCTCCCACTTCCCCTGCTTGTGTTCCTGCTCTCGCTGTGTCTCTCTGTCAAATAATAAAATCTTTAAAAAAAAAAAAAAGAATAATCAAAAAGAAATTTTGTAGCTGAAAAGTATAATAACTGAATGAAAGAACTCAGTAGAGGGATAAAAAAACAGCTTTGAGTAGTCAGAAGAAACAATCAGTGAACTGAATATATCAAATCTGAAGAAAAGAAAGACAAAGGATTGAACAGAAGTGAACAGAACATAAGAACCTATGGGACACCATCAGTAAACCAATATGTGCAGTGTGTTAGTCTAGAAGAAGAAGAGGGAAACAAAAGGACAGAGAGCTTATTTGAAGAAAAAATGCCTGAAAACTTCCCAAATTTGATGGAAGACACAAATATTAACATCTAAGAAGCTCGAACTCCAACCAGGCTAAACTCTGAGACTCACACTTGGCACATTATAATCCAAGTGTCAAAAGCAAAAGGCGAAGAGAAAATCTTGAAAGCAACAAGACAGAAGCGACTCATCACATACAATGGATCTCCAAAGATTATCAGATTTCTCATCAGAATCCACAGAGGCCAGAGGCAGTGGGTTGATATACCCAAGTGTTGAAGGAAAAAAACCAAGAATCCTGTAACAAGCAAAACTGTCCTTCAAAAATGAGAGAGAAATTAAGACCTTGCAGATAAATAAAAGCCAAGGAGTTCTTTACTACTAGATGTATCCTGCAAGAAATTCTAATGCGGGTCCTTCAGGTTGAGATGAAAGGACACTAGATAGTAACTCAAAGCCATTTGACCAAATAAAGATCTCTGTTAAATTAAACACACAATTATAAAAGCTAGTAACTTGGGTTTATAACTCCACCTTTTGTTTTCTACATTTAAGAGATTAACACATAAATAACAATTACTGACCTAAATTTTTGGACATACAACACACACAAGATGTAATTTCATGACATCAATAACTAAAAGGGATGGGGACAGAGTCATATAGAAGCAGAGTTTAAAAAAATATGATTGAAGCTAAGCTGGCATAAATTCAAATTAATTGTTATAATTTTATATGTTAAATGTGAACCCCATGATTAACTAAAAAAAAAAACCCCAAAACAAAGCCCTCTAGAAAGTATACCAAAAAAACCCAAAACAACCCCCCCCACAAAAACCCAACAAATCAGAACATTTCACTACAAAAAGCCAACTGAATACAAAAGCCAATAATGCAGAAAATGAGGGACAAAATAAGATACAAGGCATATAGCAAACAAATAGCAAAATGACACCCTCATCACAATGGGTGACGTTAGAAATCAAAAACTGAAGGAAAACTGTAAAATTCACAAACCTATGAAAATTAAACAAATCATTTTTAAACAACTAATGGGTCAAAGAAGAGTCACAAGGGAAATTAGAAAATACTTAGATTTAGAGACAAATGAAAATGAAAAGACAGTATCAGCAAAAATTATGTGAAGAAGCAAAAGCAGCACTAAGGGGGAAACTGTTATAAACACTTACATTAAAAAGGAGAAAGATCTTGAATCAACAGCTTAACTTTACAACTTAAAGAACTACAAAAAGATCCAAGAAACCCGAAGCTAGCAGAAAAAGAAAGAAATAATAAAGATTAGAACTGAGATAGAGACAAGAAAAACAATAAAGAAAAATCAACAAAACTGAAAACTGCTATCAAAATTTAGACAAACTTTTGGGGTGCCTGGCTGGCTCAGTCAGTGGAGCATGACTCTTGATCTTGGAATTGAGCTTGAGCCCCATGTTGAGTTTAGAGATTACTTAAAAAAAAAATCTCTAAAAAAAAAAGAAAATTGACAAACTTTTACCTAAATTGGATTTTAAAAAAAAAAAGGAAAACTAAAATAGTAAAATAAAAAATTTTAGTGGGAACGTAACTACCAATTCTACAGAACTAAAAGAGATTATAAGAGAGTACTAGTAAGGAGACTGAATCACTAATCAAAAACCTCCTGACAAAGAAAAGCCCTGGGGCCCCTGGGTAGTTCTGTTGGTGAAATAAGCGTCTGCCTCCAGCTCAGGTCATGATCCCAGAGTCCTAGGATCGAGTCACGCATCAGGCTCCCTGCTCAGCGTGGAGTCTGCTTCTCCCTCTACCCTTCCTCCCTGCTCGTGATATCTCTCTCTCTCAAATAAATATTAAAAATAAAATAAACTCTGTTTTCCTTTGGAAAAAAACAAAAAAAGAAAAAGAAAAGCCCTGACTTGATGGTTTCACTGGTGAGTTCTGCCAACCACTTAATGAAGAACACACACCTATTTTTATAAAAAATAGACAAAGCCATTACAAGCAAACTGTAGACCAATATACTTGACAATTCATCAAGATAAAAAATCATCAACAAAATACTAGGAAACTGAATTCAGCAAAGTAAAGGATTATACACCATGACCTACTGGGATTTATTTCTAGAACCAAAGGATGGTTCAACGTACAAAAATTAATCAATGTAATACATCACATTCACAGAATGAGGAAAAAACTCTATGATCATTTCAATTGATGCATAAAAAACATCTATCAAGGGGCGCCTGGGTGGCTCAGTCGTTAAGCATCTGCCTTCAGCTCAGGTCATGATCCCAGGGTCCTGGGATCGAGCCCCGCATCAGGCTCCCTGCTCGGCAGGAGTCCTGCTTCTCCCTCTCCCACTCCCCCTGCTTGTGTTCCCTCTCTCACTGTGTCTCTCTGTCAAATAAATAAATAAATAATCTTAAAAAAAATCTATCAAAATTTAACACCCTTTCATGATGAAAATAGTCAACAACTAAGAACAGAAGGAAACTACCTTAATATAGTAAAAGATTAAAACCCATGACTAATATATTCAATAGTGAAAGACTGAAAGCTTTTCTTCAAAATCAGGAAGAAGGATGCCAACATTCACTACTACTATTCAAAATGGTACTGGAAGCTCTAGACAGGAAAAAAAAACGGGGGAGGAGGAGGAAGGAAGAGGAAGGAGAAGAAGGGCATCCAAAGGGAAAGGAATAAGTAAAAAAAAAAAGCTTTTAGAATAAATGAATTCAGCAAAATAACAGGATACAAAAGATCATTAAAAAAGTTTTATTTCTGTACAATAATGAACAATTGGGGCGCCTGGGTGGCTCAGTCGTTGGGCGTCTGCCTTAGGCTCAGGTCATGATCCCAGGGTCCTGGGATCCAGCCCCGCATTGGGCTCCTTGCTCAGCAGGGAGCCTGCTTCTCCCTCTCTCTCCCTCTGCTTGTGTTTTGTCAAATAAATAAATAAAACCTTAAAAAAAAAAAAAAAAGAACAATCTAAAAAGGAAACTAAGAAAACAATTGTACTTATAATAGTATCAAAGGAATAAAATACTTAGAAATTAACCAAGACAGTAAAAGATAGGAACACAAGAAACTACAAAATACTGCTAAAAGGAATTAAAGAAATTAATAAGTGGAAAGACATCTATATTCATGGATTGAAAGATTTAATGCTGTTAAGATATCAATACTACCCCAAATCATCTACAGATTCAATACAATCCCTATCAAAATCCCAAATTTTTTTGTAGTAATAGAAAAATTCACCTGGAGAGGCACCTGTCTGGCTCAGTTGTTGATCGTCTGCCTTTGGCTCCGGTCATGATCCCAGGGTCCTGGAACAGAGCCCCTCATCGAGCTCCCTGCTCTGTGGGAAGCCTGCTCCCTCTCCCACTCCCCCTGCTTGTGTTCCCTCTCTCCCTATCTCTCTCTCTGTCAAATAAATAAATAAAATCTTAAAAAAAAAAAAAAAAAAGAAAAATTCACATGGACTCTCAAGGACACCAAATAGAACAATCTTGAAAAAGACTAAAGTTGAAGGAGTCACACTTCTTAATTTAAAATTTTACTCCAAAGCTATAGTAGTCAAAACACTGTGATACTGTCATAAAGACAAATATAGACCAATGCAACAGAATAAACACTCCAGAAATAAACTCTTGCATATATGGTCTAATGATTTTCTACAAGGAGGCCAAGACTCTAGTCTAGACCATTCAGTGGGGAAGATCCATTAGGCTGACATTAAGGCTACTGATCCTGAATCCTTTCCTGTGAGGGTTTGAAACAGCAGGTGTTGTGGCAATAAAGTAAGAGAAGTAGGCATGCACTTAGTACAGCTCTAGAAACCACAGCACCTACCCAGGGAATTGGGGAAGGCAACAGTATCCATCGTTCAGATGTGAGAACTGCCTTTACAGAAAAGAGAAAGGCAGAGCCTCGCCCAGGGCACAGGGGTAGGTGTGAGGGCCTTACCTAGTGAGGATGTGAGTGCAAAGTTCTCCAGCATCACATCATGGTACAGGCATCTCTGATCCTCATCTAGGAGATCCCATTCCTCCCAGGAGAAATACAGGGCCACGTCCTCAAAAGTCACATTTCCCTGCCAGGATAGAGAAAGATGAAACCATGAACTGCCTCACTCCTGAAGACCCATAATCCATACCCCCACACATCTACCCCATGTCCCTCCTTCTCCCAAGATCCCCAAATCAGAGGAGATACCAGACTCTGGTGTCACCGGTGTCTGCACTTTCCTTATACTCCCATTAATCGCTGTGTTCACTCTGTTCCTCACTCTGCAACCAGATGGGGTGTGTTAAGACCTAGATAAGATCGTCTTCTAGGGCACCTGGGGGGCTCAGTCGGTTAAGTGTCTGCCTTTGGCTCAGGTCAGGATCTCAGGGTTCTGGGATCCAGTCCGGCTGCTTCGGGCTCCCAGCTCAGTGGGGAGCCTGCTTCTTCCTCTCCCTCTGCCCTTCCCCCACTCACCGCCCCCCCGCCCCCGACGCTCTCTCTCACACTCTTTCTCTCAAATAAATGAATAAAATCTTAAAAAAAAAAATCACATTCTTCCTCGATCCAGACCTTCCCTTGCCTCCAGACGGATGCCTAACTTCACCGGCAGTCATTCAGAGCTTGACTCTGGCGCACTGCCCCAGTTTGTTCTCACCAGAATGAAAGGAGGCCCGCCATCACCTGAAAGAGCTTAGCCTCACCTCCAAGCACTTCCACATACCAACACCTGTTTTTGTAATAAGCTTCCACGTCTCTTTCCTTGATGGCCCCAAATGAGAACCACTCCATATAAACCCTGGCCTAGACTCGAGCCTGAGCTAGGATTCTTCAGGGCCCCCAAACTCAAGGGCTGGGAGAATGGCAGGTGAAGAGTCTCATGACACCCCAAATATGGACAAAATGTGGGACGGGACCAGTGAGGGACTGGTACACCTCCACTCACCTGTGTAGGTTCCAAAAGCACTTCTGCAACCATGGAAACCTGTGGGAAGAGGCAGGTCTTCGAGGGATGTGACCACGGCGACTTTCCAGGGGCTCAGGCCTTCCCTGTGTCCCTGCGGGGCACCAGAGCCAGGTAACCTCGGGCAGACTGGCCAACCTCTGTGCCGTGTGTCCTTGGAAAAAGACTCAACCTCCCCCTATCAGCCCCTACAATCTGTTCTACTGAACGGACTTTGGAGGCTTTCTCAAACCCTAGCGTACACTGTCTCTCTTTTCCTCAAAATTCTCCATGGGTCCCAGGGCCCTCAGAACGAAGGTACGACACCTCGGCCCGCCAGTCCAGGCGCGACCCCGCCTCACGCTCTCTGTCCCCTGAGGGCAGCCTCCTCCCGCCTCACGCCCCCTCCAGCCTCTGCCCCGCCGGCCCCTCGGCCCGGAGCCCGCTCCTCACGCCAGCACGCCGGCGCTCGCACACGGGGCCCCCGCCCACCGCCGCCTCCCCGTCCGACACCGGGGCCTGGGCCGCAGGGACGCGAGCAGCTCGGGCCTTCGGGGTCTGGGGGCGGGGGGGACGGCGGGAGGGCCCGGGGGACGAGCGCTTACCTGAGGCGGCTCCCTGGGCGCGGCCGCCGCCATCGGAGCCTCTGGGCGGAGTGAAGTGATGACAGCTGAGCGACCCGGGCAGTCGCGGGCACCGAGGTCTCCTCCAGGCCGGCCTCGCAGGCGGCGATATCCCCGACCCTAGACCCGCCTCCCCATGGGACAAAGCCTCCTCTCGTGCCTTCTCTGTCCGTCGCCTGAGTTCCAACCCCTGTTCCGGGTCCTCTGACGGAGCCCAAAGACCCCCGAACCGCTAAAACGACCGCCACGGAAAGGACGGAAGCCCCGCCTCCAGGCGGTTCGTCCTGCCGGAATGTTCCCTTTCTGGGTTTTCATTGGGTTATTACCGCTGCCGCTCAACCCAAAGCTTTCTGGGTAACGTAGTTCCTCCGTCGTTCAGGCCTGGAAGAGGGGCGCCCAACACCAGAAACTCTCGGAGAAATGATCAAACAGCAAGGCGAGGCCTAAGGGAAATGACCCTCCTATACTTCTAGGGTTGGGGAAGGACTTGGGTTCTTCTTAAAGGGGCAGCGGGCCAACTTCTGGGGAGTCTTAAGTGCCCTTTAAGTCTTTGGTGCTACTGATCACTGAAGTGTTCCCACATTATTTCAGACTCTATGAAGCCAACTCTAGTGGACATCCACTGGTAGCTGGAAGCGAATAAGCATTAGCTTACTGCTCTTTAAATACATGCAGCCTGAGGTGTTAAAGTCATTTTTGTGAGCTTCAGTCCGTTGGGTCAGGGACAAAGAAAAGCATTTGGCCTTTTTTGGTATTTATTTGTCAATAAAATAGCATTCTGAAACTTTCAGTCACCAATCGTATCAGGTCCAACTTGGCTATTAGTATTTCCAGTGAATTAAAGAAATATATCATTTGAGGGGCGCCTGGGTGGCTCAGTCAGTTAAGCATCTGCCTTTGGTTCAGGTCATGATCCCAGGGTCCTGGGATGGAGCCCCTCATCCAGCAACCTGCTCAGCCGGGAGTCTGCTTCTCCCTCTCCCCTTCTTGTGCTCTAGTGCACAATCTCCCTCTCAAATACATAAATAAAATCTTTAAAAAAAAAAAGCATACTACAAGGTTTTTTTAATGCAACCCAATTAAAATATTGAATACATAAATTATATAGAGGAAGCTGTCCTGATAATTTTCAGTACCCCTATTAATCAATTTGATAAAAGACAAAAATTCTAGCAAATTTTATAAAAAAAAGCATTTTAGGAGGAAAATCATAAACACATATTAAAAGCTCATCTCATATATGTTTATGAAAATACAAGTTAAATAATAAATGACATTTGATATTTCACCATTAAGGTACCTAATTTTCTATAATTTCTTATATGATCCAATTTTTATTATGGATCTCCTGATAAATATTTTATATCATCCTTTGTGTCTATAAAAAAACAAAAGTGAATTAAATACAACTGCTATTTAATTACTAGAGTTCTTTAAGTGAACTAAAGGGGCACTTGGGTGGCTCAGTAGGTTAAGCCTTCAGCTGGGGTCCTGATCTCAGGGTCCTGGGAAGGAGCCCTGCATCGGGGTCTCTGCTCAATGGGGAGTCTGCTTCTCCCTCTCACTCTCCCTCTGTGCTCTCCCTCTCTCTCTCTCTCTCTCTCTTAAATAAATAAATAAATAAATAAAGTCTTTAAAAAAATTAGTGGACTAAAAATTTCAAAATGTTTCACAAATCTTCTGAGTACAGAATGTCATAGATTATATATTACATCCTAATCATTTATAGTTTTAACCCTCATATCGAATTTTATTGTAAGGACCTAAAATTTTTAAAGTGAGGAATTTTTAATTTTTATTTACTTATTTATTTATTAAGCATATGTGTTGATGAAGTGAACACTTTTTTTTTAAGGACTCTCTTAAATAGAAACTTTTACTTGCAATTGCATTCCACTTGTATACATTATATTAAATAAATGATAAAATTTAAAAGTAACATTGGAATTAAGAATTTGGCAAGGAAATCAACTGAATTTTGATAAACATAAGACCCTCTAGTGGGAACAGAGGGCATGAGAGAACACATCCTCCAAGCAATGATTTGCATTCTGGAACTTCAGTGAGTGTATTTTATAGAGCTAATGAGAAAATGATTAACTAAAAAGGGCAAGTAAGAGAGAAGGCACCATGTATTTCTAAGTAAACCAAATGCTTCTCAGAGAGCCCACACTGCTGACAAGAGTGCTCACCCCATGGATATACAGGAGACACAGGGAGTGGCAGATGGTTTCAGAGAGCAAAATCTACTCCAATGTCTCTCTCTCTCTCTCTCTCTCACACACACACACGGCTCATACAGAACTTTCATGGAAGATATTTTAATTCACATAGTAGCACTTAAAAAGAGGGGCATCTGCGTGGCTCAGTTGGTTGAGCCTCCAACTCTTGATTTTGGCTCAGGTCATGATTTAGGAGCCGTGGGATCGCGCTCGGTGCAGAGTCTGCTTGTCCCTCCCTCCTCTCTCTCAAATAAATAAATAAATAAATAAATAGACTCTTTAAAAAGAAAGAGGGAAGCACAATTAGGATAAAAATAAATCGAATTACTCAATGAAGCAAACTAAGTTAAGGGAGAAGGGAAAGAGTAAAATTATTCTAAATCGTGATGAATTTAGACAATAAACAGGTCAATCGACTTGATGGGAAAATGAATAAAGTTTGTATCACCTAGACCTCAACTGAGCCTGTGAATCCTAAAACTACTGTGGTTACTGATCCCATTTATCCACTAAGGACTGATAAAGCTCAGCGCTTCTCTGCTCACAGGTATTCTACGGATAACTTCATGAAAAGCATCCTGCTCTCAGGAAGAAGGGAAAGCACTCAGCTGGTTAGAAGTATTAATACAGGAATAATAAACCATCTTATTAATTGTAGGTGGACAATTAATGTGTGTGTGAGTACTGATAGGTTATATATTACTAAATGAACAGGAATGTCAAAGCACATTTTATTTTTTTAAAGATTTTATTTATTTATTTGACAGAGAGAGACACAGCAAGAGAGGGAACACAAGCAGGGGGAGTGGGAGAGGGAGAAGCAGACTTCCCGCCGAGCAGGGAGCCCAATGCGGGACTCGATCCCAGGACCCTGGGATCATGACCTGGGCTGAAGGCAGACGCTTAACAACTGAGCCACCCAGGCGCCCTCAAAGCACACCTTAAAACTGCAGTTTTTGAGTCACTTTTCCTTTAAAGAGACGTATTTCTGTAAAGGGGAGTTAGAAGTGTACTATCGTCCACTGAGGACAGAAATTCTGGAGACACTCTGTTACAGACCAGTTAGGCTTAGGCACACTGGCTCCCAGAGATGATGAAACCAAACGCCAGCACCACCAAGTATTAGCAGATGCCAGGCGTCTCCTCAGGAATGGGAGCTGACAAACACATCTCCCTGCCCTTCATGTGTCTACAGGGAAGAGTCTTAGGGGAAATATTTTCAGGGTCAGTGGGTTTGTCAGCAACAAGGTGGAGGAGATTTCAGGGCACGGAAAAGATGGAGGGGTAATGCCTGGCAGTCCCAAAGGAGCTGGACACTGGCAACAGCATTTCTTTAAATTCCTCAGAACCCCGCCATCCTGCCTCTGTTTATGTGTCCATGTTCCAGCCCCAGCAGGCAGAATGGTTTCATCCATACACTGTTTCCTACTGGAAATATGGGATGATGAGATGGATTCTATTCCTCCTAAGAGTCTAACAGTTATTTGAAAAGAATAGCTACTTACCAAATTGATGGTTGATGCCAGGACAGTGACTGCAGTGGCAGCATTCACACAGGTGTAGAAAGGGGTCTTCTGGACCATAAGATAAAGGTTTGAGACTCAGTGAGCTCACCTCCTTGCCAGGAAATAATTATCATCTCTAACTGCGCTGACAGTATCTGCACAGGGATTTGAGATTATCTCTGAAAAACATCTGTGATTTGTGCATAACACTGATAGCTCTTAACGTTTATTTGTAAAGTTGCCCAAGAGGGGCGCTGGGGTGGCCCAGTTGGTTAAGCGTCTGCCTTCAGCTCAGGTCATGATCCCAGGGTCCTGGGGCTCCCTGCTCAGTGGGAAGCCTGCTTCTGCCTCTCCCTTTGCCTGCTGCTCCCCCTGCTTGTGCTCTCTCTGTTAAATAAATAAATAAAATCTTAAAAAAAAAAAAAAGTTATCCAAGAGGGTGAGGTGAACAGAAATAACTAGAGGACAGTCTTACTTTAGGTGTCGAAAAAAATGATAAGGTGTCACGGGAAGGGCAGCAGAAGACACTGCAGTTTTTAATTTTTTAAAAGATTTGTTTAGGGGTGCCTGGTTGGCTCAGTCATTAAGCGTCTGCCTTCGGCTCAGGTCATGATCCCAGGGTCCTAGAATCAAGCCCCGCATCGGGCTCCCAGCTCAGCGGGAAGCCTGCTTCTCTCTCTTCCACTCCCCCTGCTTGTGTTCCCTCTCTTGCTGTCTCTCTCTCTCTGTGTCAAATAAATTAATAAAATCTTAAAAAAAAAAAAAAGATTTGTTTAGGGGTGCCTGGTGGCTCAGATGGCTAAGCGTCTGCCTTCGGCTCGGGTCATGATCCCAGGGTCCTGGGATCGAGCCCCACATTGAGCTCCTGGCAGGGCGGGAAGCCTGCTTCTCCCTCTCCCTCTGCCTCTCCCCCTGCTCATGCTCTCTCTCTCTCTCTATCTCTGTCTCAAGTGAATAAATAAAATCTTTAAAAAGAAAAAAATTAAAAAATAAAAAGATTTATTTATTTATTTATTTATTTGACAGAGAGAGAGAATGCACGAGCAGGAAGAGTGGGAGAGATGCCCCGACCGACATTGAAGTTTAAGAAGCAAGAGAATGAAGCAGATTACGACTCCATGCCTCATTCCTGCCTATATTGAGTGTCTTTTTTTTTTTTAAGATTTATTTATTTATTTGACAGAGACACAGCGAGAGAGGGAACACAAGCAGGGGGAGAGGGAGAAGCAGGCTTCCCACTGAGCGGGGAGCCCGACGCGGGGCTCGATCCCAGGACCCTGGGATCATG